AAGATGAACAGAGAAATGTACTTAACAATCAATTATGTTTACTCCTCACTTTTTTCTAATTTATTGAAAATCTCACTTAAGTTTTCTTTATACAGAATAGCCTCAAAATGGTTCTAATATTGACTGTTTGTAAAATGTGTTTTTCCCTAAATTTTATTTGCTAAACCATTTTTTATGTAATTCATTTACTTATTTTTTGGCTTTGTTTTCTTATACGACACTAAATAATTATAGACCAGGCGTTTGAATACTAAGTAAATTACTCCCTATCTACCATCTGTTATTTTTTTTTTCTCCTAAGTGGAACAAATTTCCTTCCAAAAAAATTTATTGCAGTCACAAACTGCTGTTTATGGTCATTTTACAGATAAAATTCCATAAACTCAAGTTAGCGCTGACATTTTATAAGTGCTGTCAAGCCAATGCTGGGGAACGGAAACCAACATCTCACGGTGTTCTCTGAAGTGGGGACATATTTTCTCTGCTTATTAGGGATGGTGAGAAATGGCTGGATTAAAGCAGAGAAATATTTCAACGATGCAGAGCAAAGGTGACTTCCTGTTTTGTTTTCTGTTTTGTCTCCTTCTCCTCTCAATGAAGGTTGTGTTTTCGGACATTCTGCAATCCTTTTGCTCAGTGATTTCCTATTGAAGGGGCACAGTGCTGGGGCCTCTGCAGGTCACGCCATTTACGATATGCGCTGAAAAGGGAGGGGGTGGGGAAGAGGGAGGGAGGGGAGGCTCATTAGTTGAGAAGGCAGACCAGGAGGGGATCTGTTTTCTATTTTCTCCTCCAGATTGAACTCATCTGGGTGGAAAGGGTTTTATTGTTGTTATCATCGTCCTTATACCTGTGTGGTGTCAATTTCCTACACATTTCTTTCAAGTGTTAGGCAAAATTGTTGGGGAGAAGAGTTAGATAATACGTGCCATTTTATTTCAGTAAGCAAAATCAGAAACATAAAAATCCAAATGCTTTAAAGCTGTTAGTTTCCACTTTTAAGCTTAAAAAGCAAAACTCAGAAGTTCAAATTCCACAGGGCAAAGAAAAATAGAAGGAAAAAAACCCGTTCCTTGCTTCTGGTGGCCTATTTATAACCACGCACTGCATTTCTTCTCTTTATGAAAGGCAACTCCCTCTAGCCTCCCTAGTTATTAAAAATACAGACTTCTGTAGTCCTAGCTCTGGCTTCAGTAAGGCTCCACCACTGCTCACGGGGGTTTGTGTTTTCTGCGACTTGAACGTTAGTGACATTGCTTAAGCCTTTCCGCACAGCCGGTGATCGCAGATTGAAAAGCTGTAGTTTGCTTAAAGTAAAACCTTCAGGGAGGGAGCGGCTCAGTTGGGGTCTCTGGTGGGGACTGGGAGACTCCTCCGTGGGGAATTGGGGGGTCTCTTCGGTGAGGGACCGGGGAAAGAGGGGGGAAGAGAGGCTCCCCAATGTGGGGCTGGCTGGGGCAGAGGTGCATCGCTCGAGTTGGCGCTGTCCTGGGCTCCGGCACCGCAACTGCTTCGCAAGGCGGCGGCTCCTCACAGCCGACGACCCGCAGACCTCTGCCCCGAGCGCCCACTCGGTTCCCGGGAAGAGGAGCGGGCGTGGGAGCGCAGGGACTGCCCCGGGGCGGAGCTCCCGCCCTGTCCCGGAGGTGGGAAAGGGAAGAGCTGCGGAGTCCGAGGCACAGACCTCCCAGCGAGGCTCCTCTCGCCGGTCCCTCCCGCTAGCGACCGTCGTCGCTGCAGCGGCTGCAGCTCACACTAAGAATTAGATCTTCCTCAGCCTGCAAGACTTGCAAACTCTTAACTGCACCCACTCTCCTATTAGGAGTTTTTTCCCCCCCCTCTGGTTTCTCTCCCCCTCTCCCGTCCTCCTCCTCCTCACTTTGGACAATTTAATGCCTCTTTTAGGACCTTTTTGTGATCCAGGGGACGTGACACCCCAGAGCTCCAACTACCTCAGCTGAATTCTACTTTTGTTTTTATTTCTCCCTCGCATCCTCCTGTGCTCCTCCCATCTGATAGGTCTGCGAAGTCTGATGCTTCTGCCAGAGGGAGAGGAATAAATAGATGCTGCTGTCCCCGAAGGCTTAGACGTTGGGAAAGAGCGCTGGGGGCGGTGGCCGGAGCTCGGCGAAGCTCGTGGGACCCCATTGGGGGAATTTGATCCAAGGAAGCTGTGCGATTGCCGGGGGAGGAGAAGCTCCCAGATCCTCGTGTCCACTTCCCGGGGGGAGGAGGAGACGGCGGAGCGGGCCTCTCGGCGTCCACGGCGCTGCTGCACCCAGCCCCTGCTCCAGCCCGCCGGGATCATGGAGTGCGGCCGCCCGGGCGGGATGCCGCTGCTGCGGGCCGGGCTGCTCGCCCTGGCTGCGCTCTGCCTGCTCCGGGTGCCCGGAGCGCGGGCTGCAGCCTGTGAGCCCGTCCGCATCCCCCTGTGCAAGTCCCTGCCCTGGAACATGACCAAGATGCCCAACCACCTGCACCACAGCACCCAGGCCAACGCCATCCTGGCCATCGAGCAGTTCGAGGGGCTGCTGGGCACCCACTGCAGCCCCGATCTGCTCTTCTTCCTCTGTGCCATGTACGCGCCCATCTGCACCATTGACTTCCAGCACGAGCCCATCAAGCCCTGCAAGTCTGTGTGCGAGCGGGCCCGGCAGGGCTGCGAGCCCATCCTCATCAAGTACCGCCACTCCTGGCCGGAAAGCCTGGCCTGCGAGGAGCTGCCGGTGTACGACCGCGGCGTGTGCATCTCTCCCGAGGCCATCGTGACTGCGGACGGAGCCGGTGAGTCTTGCCACGGCCACCCTCCCCTTTCCCCGCAGCCTCCTCACTTTTGGAGTCCTGGTTACTCACCCTTACTGTCTAATTCTATCTTTTCTCTTTGGATCACTTATGTTAATCTCTCCCTTAATCACTCCTCCATTGAGCACCATTCTCTTTTTAAAAATCTCTCTCACCTTCCAAACGGATGCATTGTTGCACTCTACTCTAATAGGTGATCTGTCTTTCTAAAACACTGTGCTTCCACTCTCATCACACTTCTATTCCATGCTGGTCCTTCACGTTCAACTTTTTACATGTAGGAGTAGCCACATTTTGTATAGCGATGCTCTTTTCTTTTAAAATTTGTTTGTAATCATCGAGTTTTCTTGCCTGATTCTTCTGCAATGTCAGTCATCAGGTTTCTATGTCTTTTAGTGTTTTAGCTGCTCGGTAAGATTGTATGGAGAAAACAGAAAACTGAAGCTCCATTTTTCTTCTAATCATTAAAAATGCCAAGATAATTTCAGGAACCTTACTCCAACCCACAGATGTTAGTGGTATGTGTTTGCTCAAAATCCAATTTGAGCAATTACCTTCACCTTAAATTTCCCCCTCCTTTCAATGAGATAAATTGTTCTTCCATTCCGGAGTGAAACAGCTGTGAAACATTGCTATGCACTGCTAATTAGCTTCTGGGTCTTGCTCCAGCCATGGAGCTGGCAGACTGAAATTACTGGGCTCTTCTATATGCCCTCAAATCATTTTGTAAATGGCATATAGATGAAAGGAATTATATTTAAGGTGTATTATCATTATATACTCATGTAATGTTATTTTAAATCTCACCCCTTGTCCCACTCTCATATTCTGCAAATAACTTGTCATTAATACCTTATTTCATGCCCTTTTTCTGTGTGTGCCTCAACCACACATTCATTTCAATCTTTCCTTTCCATAAAACTTTATTGCAGTTCTACATTTAATGGAAGCAACCACAAGTTGTTTTCTCACCAGTGTTTGGTCTAATTATGACATTCATAATTCTAAGACCCCCAGCTCAACCTAGTTCAGTATGGTCCATCTAATTCTAACTCAATATCCTTCCTATCAACTAACCCAACCTCAAATTTTACCCTTCATATACTTCGAAAATAAGGCAATTTAAACATTTTCTAAACTAGTGGTCCCCTTTCATACCCTCCCCAGATCAACTCTCTTCTTAGACGTGTCGACTTGGTTGCCTTCATCTCTATTTATTTCTTGGGCATCAGCTTTCCTTCCTCTGTCAGCCTAGGCTCATGTCCCTAGTCTATTTCTAGGTAATAATTCTTAGTTGTCAGGGAATTGATTTGGAAAGATTGCTTTCTGTGCACATTGATTCATTTAACGTGAAGTGAGAGGGGAAGGGAAAAAGAGTTGTACAAATAGCCAAAAAGCTAAAACTAAACAGAAGGATTTCAAGAACTTTTTGATGGTCACCTCAGTTTATCTCTTTTTGAACATACCTATTATCTTCTTGATTTTAATCAAGAACCAAGAGCTGGTTGTATAAAATAATCAGTAAGAAATGTATTCCCTATTAATCTTTGAACTCAAAGAGCAGTCTTGAGCCTTTGTACTGGCTAAAGGAACAGGCTCTGTAGACGGGGGAAGAGCTCCCTGCAGTTGCTGCCTTGGTTTGCCAGGCACTTAGAATCAGTTAAATGCTGGCGCTCCTCTCAGGCCAAGGGCTAGGAATGAGGTGGCAGTGGTTCACACTGAAATGCATTCCTCCCTTTAAAGGACAAAACTTGCTCTTAAATCTCTCTTAGAGATGGATTTCGAATGAGTGAGCTTTGGCAAGGTTAATGGCTCTTAAAAAGCCATAGTCATTATCAATGGGAAGCAGTTTAATTAAGTGTCCCTGAGTTACCAATCACTGTGGACCAAATGTGGAGCAATTGCCTCATTGAAGCACTCAAATAGGACATGCATGGAAACAATTTGTCAGTTCATGGGACTTGATTTCTGAGCTTGTTTAAAATACCATTATATTTGCTTTGTTGACAGCACCCTTGCTAGAAAGGTAAGTAGAGGTAGGTGGCAGTTGGAATCATATCTTAGTGATGGTCTCCCTGCTCCTACATAACCTTCAGTGTGAATCAGAGACTGGTGGCAGGAGGAGCTGAAGGGGAGGTGGGAATGGAGAAGGGAGGGATGGATTCTAGCCTCCCAGCTTGTTGAAGGGCCAGCTTGTTGAAAATTACATTCCCTATGCTGGGTCAAACTGTCAGACACCTGGAATTACTTAGGAACTACCGCATGTGGCCAATTTAATTTACAATGCAATATACTCCTCGGGTCAGTGGGATATGTTAGTTCATGAAGCAGGTTTTTTTTCCCCCTTCCATTCAGGTATAAACAGAGTTCCTGTGTCTTATGACTAAAATCTATCCAGCCAGATATAAACATGAGTCCTCCCTGAATAAAATGGGACAAGCTTTCATATTCCTTCAACACCAAGAGGATTTTCAAATCCTACCATTCACAGGGATCTGTCTTCTCATGGCATATTATGATTCCACAAACAAGCTTAGGACATTGTACAAAACAAGGTCTTATTGAAATGGAGTAAGGCTTCAATGTACTTTTGCTTCCAAACACTAAGGGTAAACATAAAGAACAGGTTACATCCTGACCATTACTTATAAATTCATATCAAGTTTATTCTTTTTACACATTTTATATTTACTGTACAGTGTGGCTACGTATATAACTGCTTTATATGAAAACTCAGTTCAATTTAGCCGTTCAGCCAGTTAATTATTACATTTAGTCAAATCTTTAATATTGCCTGGTGAGTAAAGAGGATGGGCGTGGAGTTGGGCAGACCAGGTGTTGCATCTCGACTCTGCCCCATCAGAGCAGAGCATCAGCTGTTGCTATTGATCAATAGTATCAACTGTTGCTATTGGAAAATGTCTTTGCTTCAAAGTTTTTCTGTTAAAATGAGGACAAAACTGCCTCCATCCCAAGGGCATGGTGAAGATGAAATTAAATTGAATATAAAGCACTGAATTTAGTACCTTGGACATAGTAAACCCTGAACAAATTGCTTTTGCTATTTTACTATTATTATCACTTTTATATCAAATTTACTGACATTTTCTTTTCTTTCTTTTTTTTGAAATGATTATAATGGTAGATGCAGATATAGCCTAGAATTTTCATCAGTTCATCTCTGGGAAATGAAACGAGCTTTACACTGGAAAAGCAGATCTTATTTCTTCTGAATGTATAAAGTTAATATTTCATCTTACACAAATCAACCTGGACCTCAGGATCAAGAGCAAATCCCTTTTGGGAGTGACAGAAAAAAAGAATGAGTCTGATGGATATGAGTTAATTACATATAGTTAATCTCAGAAACCCAGAAATCAAGCATTTAAGAAAATTTACAGTATGATCATTCACCGCTATTTCTACAACACCTACGGTTTACTGTGCCAAGGGCTTTATAATCACTTCTCAGTCGTTGCTGGTTTCCGTGGTAGTGCTAGCTTGTCTCCCCAGCTCTTGCTCAACACGTTTCTGCAGGCCTCCTCTCTCCTGCCAGAGCTGCGCCAACTTTCACATGCAGGAACTGCTGTTTAATCATTTCTCCACTCTCAGAGGAACAGGCAGTCTTTTCTTTAGCCCTGGTCTGTAAATATTTGAGGGGCCAAATACCAAGAAGGAAGAAGACTTATTTAATGGGATAGAAAGAAAATGGAATGGAAATTTTAGATGAAGACTAGAAAGAAAATATGATTCTAAGGATTCTTCATCATGTAAAATATGGAAAGGCACTCTGGATGGGGAATGGAAGGGTATGTCAGTGCTATGGTATTTAATTTTTTTAAAGCTAACCCAATTATCAGTGATAATGGAATCTTATATAGTCCCCAAATCTTATTTTAATAATTCACTTTTATCTCATTCCCACCGAATCTTTAAATAGTTGTTGCTACAAATAGCAAAATTGACTAGGTTATGTTTGGCCTTTCTTTCTATTTAGTGTCTAGAAAGAAGAGACCAAGAGTTACCATATAGACATACAGTTTTGAATAATTAAAAATTGGCTACATTTCTTTAATTTAGAGAAAATCACAATTTTAGAGTTATAGGCCCTTAGTTGGAATTCTAGATTTGCCATTGATTTTTGTACATTGAACAAATCACTTGACTTTGTCATTGGTTGAGGATTGTGAAGAACAAAAGAAATATTTACATGAGTTGATTTAAGTGGTAAGATACAATACACATGTTCAACACCACCACCATTGGGGAGAGGACCTGTTATCCTCAGTGTAGGGATCATTAGCAACAGAGTAAATGCTAGCAACACTTAACCTACTCTAGACGCCGTCCTAAGCACATTATGTAAAGTCACTTAATTCTCACAGCAGCTCATGGGACGTGCTGTTATTCCCATTTTGCAGAAAAAGAAGCAGAGGCACATAGAGAAGTTAAGTGATTTGTCCGTGTTAATATAGCTGGTAAGAAAAAGAGGATTCAAACCAAAGCCTATTCTATACTATGCTTCCTCTCTTATTAAGAAAAATGATTCCTCAGCTGGGTGCGGGTCTCTCACACCTATAACCGCAGCACTTGGGAGGCCGAAGTGGGAGGATCACTTGAGCCCAGAAGTTTGAGGCTGCAGTGAGCTATGATCAGGCCACTGCACTCTAGCCTGGGCAACAGTGAGACCCTGTCTCTAAAATTAAAAAAAAAAAAAAAAGTAACGTGATTCCTAAATTTCTAGAGAATCTGTGTCTTTTGTGCCCATCAGATTGTAGTTAACAAAGTTTTTTCATTGTATTGTGAAAGCCCATTTATATATGGCTTAAGAGAATAAAAGGCGGTCTAGATAGTGGATTCCAAGAGATAAGAGATTACTACTTAGCTGTACTTTTGAGATAACAGAGATTATACGTTCCAGATTCTCATGTCTAACTTGGAGCCCCTCAGTCTCAACATGCTCTAGAGTGAACTTATTTTTGCACCCTCATACACTCATTTTTTTTTTTTTTTTTTTTAGCATTTTCTATATTGTTGAGAAGCACCATCATACTCTGGGCCTGGGAGTCAGCATTTTTTATACCCGTTTCTCATCCCCCACATTCAATAGGTATCATGTGTTGTTGGATCTACTCTGAATCAGATTTCCTTCCCTATCTCTCTTTTTTTTTTGAGACAGAGTCTCACTGTGTTGCCGGGGCTAGAGTGCCGTGGTGTCAGCCTAGCTCACAGCAACCTCAAACTCCTGGGCTCAAGCGATCCTACTGCCTCAGCCTCCCGAGTAGCTGGGACTACAGGCATGCACCACCATGCCCAGCTAATTTTTTCTATATATTTTTAGTTCTCCGATTAATTTCTTTCTATTTTTAGTAGAGACGGGGTCTCGCTCTTGCTCAGGCTGATTTCGAACTCCTGAGCTCAGAAAGATCCTCCCTCCTCGGCCTCCCAGAGTGCTAGGATTACAGGCGTGAGCCACCGCGCCCAGCCTCCTTCCCTATCTCTTTAATGCCACTTTCTTAGTTTGGACCTCACTATTTCTAATGTGGATTATGCCACGGGATGATAATTGGCTTCCTTACTTCAGGTATTTCCCCTCCATATTCCAACGGGACCATTTTTCTGAAATGCAAGTCTCTTGCTTAAATCCTTTAGAATATCTGCCTCTGGTCTTTGAGATCTCATCCCTCCCTTTCTGTCTGCTCACACTACTCTATATCAGCTGCACTGGAGGACCTGCAGGTCTCTCACCCTGGTATGTTTGCGATATTCTTTATCTGGAAAACCCTCCCTACCTTTCCTAGCTCCTTTAGGTTTCTTCTGGAAACCTCTGTGACCTCCACTAGAAATCCTTGGGGCATAAAACCTACTAATATCTACTATTTTAATTTAGGATAATTTTGTTTGTAGAATTCCTAAGTTTCACTTTCTGGAAACAATTATATGTATTAAATATAATCAGAAAATTTTGGTTTTGTCTCTTACAATTCTAACAGTTGACTTCTAAGCATTTTTAAAGGTATAGAAACATTTTCCTGTGAATAAGAATGAAAGAAGGAAAACACTCTCCCTGGCTTAGCTGTTTCAAAGGGGTTTTCTTTTTCCATGAGAAGAGTTTTATTTTTCATTTTTATTTCAACCTTTACACACTAAACATTTTAAATGTGGAACAATATAATTTCTTACTTTACAGGGAGATTATTACATAAACCATATTCACTTTATCACATTATTTAGGAATGGAAAGAGCATTGGCACATTAATACTTGGATACATATAAATACAGTATTCAAATACAATAATAGTAATTAACAGTTTATGCCCAAGTTGAGCCAAATATTTTAGAATTATTGTTTGTTGCCTGATTATTTATTTGGTGACTGCTATCTTTTCTTGGATAGAGCTTTTTAAATACCAGCTGATGATTACTAAGCCTGGGAAAATAGTTCATTAATTATAATTGTGTTATTGTCCTAAAACAATATTAACCCCTTTTTGTTTATTCCTGATAGGACTTATAAACAAAAAGGACAAAGGAAGAATGCTATTTTCTGTTAGAATAAATAGAGACACAAAATTAATTTAGCATAAAGTGTTAATACAGATATTAAATTTGTATAAAAGTGCTGAGTTGGCATGTCAATAAGAATCTATCACTAGGCACAGCATCTCTCAGCATGGTGTTCTGCTGAGGTCCGTGCTATTCATTAGAGGCTGCTTTCTTAATTAGAACACAGAAGACCTTTATCATCATCATTTTCTGCAATTATGGCATCATGAAGAGAATCAATGGCAATTTCTAATTATTGCCACATCTATTAATTGCACTGGCTTGAATAGTCCCTGGATAGTAGGTTTCCTTTCTGAAGAGCTATTTATTCTGCAGTTAACAAAGGGCATGAAAATCTTTCTGAATGTTTTCCTAGGCACTAAGGATTTAAGGATATAGTAGTATTGTGTGATACGTGTGTGTTGAAGAGGTGCGTTTGGTTCTTTTTGTCATCAACTCACAAGTGTTGGATGATGAATGCCTAATATTTGCGTAGGCTTTATGGTGATAGGATGCTCATCATTTACAAATTTTTGAAATTCAAAGAAATTATTTATTAATATTAAATCCTGAAATTTTATGCACAGTTGATGAGGATTCAAAAGAGCATCACCCTTCAGTCACATGAAAGAATAGATCTCATCCTTATTCAATCCACAAATGGTAAGAGTGCCAACCTGATGACACTAATAAGAATCTACTTTCTCCAGACACCTGAGTCTTACCCAAATCAAATTTGTGACCGAATTAGATTTTTTTATATGGGAATTCTTGAAATAATAGGCAATATGTTATGGTTTTTTGTTCTATCTCCTTGCAGATTTTCCTATGGATTCTAGTAATGGAAACTGTAGAGGGGCAAGCAGTGGTGAGTATATCATTATCTTCCTGGTGTTCATTTGTGATCAGATTAGTCTTTGATGTAACCTAGATACTCAAGTCTTATTTGGAGAAGTTTGTGCTCTCTATTTTAAAAGTAAACTTAAAAACATTATTTCCTTATTTATGTTAATTTAAAAAATTAACAGATAGTAAAACTGAGTTTTCCTTTTGGTATAGTTTGGTATGCATGAATTTCAATGCATGTATAGATAGATTCATGTCACCACCACTACCATCAGGATACACAATTCCATCACCCCAAAACACTTCCCCATGCTATATCCCTTTATAATTACAAGTTTCTTCCACCCTTAACCACTGGCAATCACTGATCTTTTCTCCATCACCATAGTTTTGTCTTTTTGAAACTCCATATAAATGAAATGAAAGAGTATATAACCTTTTCAGATTGACTTTTTTTCACTTAGCATAATGCCTTTGAGATTCATCCAACGGTTCCATGTATCAATAGTCCATTTCCTTTTTATTGCTGAATATTTTACTACTTGGATCTATTACCATTTGATTATCCATTCACTCCTTAAAGAGTATTTAGGTTGTTTCCCAGTTTTGGGCAATCATGAATAGAGCTGTTATAAACATTCATGTACAGGTTTTTGTGTGAACATAAATTTTCATTTATCTAAGGTAAATATCTAGGAATAGGATTGATGGATTTTATGGTAAGTATATATTTAAGTTTATGAAAAATTGCTAAACTGGTTCCAAAATGGCTGTTCAATTTTGCACTAGCAATGTATAAGAGTTCCAGTTGCTCCATATCCTGGATAGCACTTGGTATTGTCATTTTTTTTTTTATTATTAGCCATTTTTTTATTGTTAGCCATTTTAATAGGTGTGTAGTGATGGCTCATCATGGTTTTAATTTACATTTTCCTAATGGTAAATGATGTTGCATATCTTTTCATGGGTTTATTTGCCATCCGCATATATCCTTGGTGAAGTATCTGTTCAATTCTTTTGCCCATTTTAAACTGGGTTGTTTCCTTACTAATAAATTTTGAGTTTGGTTTCATTCATTTCCTCTATTTTTCTGTTTTCAATTTTATTGATTTCTTTCCTTCTTCTTGCTTTGGAGATTTAATGTATTTTCCTTTTGTTTTATTCCTTAAGGTAGAAGCTTATATTATGTTTTGAGACCTTTTTTCTTTTCTAATATAATAATGTAATGCTATAAATATTCATCTAAGAATGACTTTAGTTGCATCACACAAATTTTGATAGTTTTTTTTTCATTTCAGTTCAAATATTTTATAATTTCTCTTGAGATTTCCTTTGATACATGCATTATTTAGGATTGTGCTATTTAATCTGTGGCTATTTGAATATTTTCCTATTATCTTTGTTATTAATTTTTCTAATTATGGTCAGAGAACATAACTTATATGATTTCAATTCTTTTAAATTTGTTAAGGTTTATTCTGTGATGCAACATGTGATCTGTCTTGGTGAATATTCCCTGTGCACTTGGAAAAGAGAATATTTTGTTATTCGATGGAATGTTCTTTAAATGTCAGTTCAATTCAGTTAATACTCTTATTTCATTCTTTTATATTCTTGCTGATTTTATCTATACTAGATCTATTGATTACTGAGAGAGCAGGTGTTTAGGTCTCCAAATATTATTGTGGATTTTCCCATTTCTCTTTTTAGTCTGTCAGTTTTGTTTTGTGTATTTTGAGGCTCTGTTGTTTGGTGCATAGACATTTAATGTTTTTGATGTCTTATTGTTGAATTGCTGTTTTCATCATGTAGTACCCCTCTATCCTTGGTACTCTTCTCTGCTCTGAAGTCTATTTTGA